ACCTTTATATTAAGATAGTTATAAATGGGTAGCTGTGTGTGTGTTTTAGGCAAAATTCAGTGCTAAGTAATACATATGTAGTTTGTTTTTGGTGTCTAGAAGTCAAGCAAATGGTACTAGTTGTTTTTTCTTGCTAAATTATGGGGAAATACGTATTAGTGAATTAACTCATGATTAACAACAAAAATAATCAGTAACAAGATAGTTGCCTGGAATAAAAAACACCGCTTTTAAAGGAAATTCAATCTGCAAAAGGTTCTAGAACACCCAAAACATTCTGCTATTTGTTTTACAGTGTATTTATGTTAAGTGGGTGTGCAAACGAAAAGGGCCAGAAGCTGTCAACTCAGGCATCTCCAGGCTCATTTCCTACATGTGCACCTGAAGGAAGGGGAGGTGGGGAAAAGCACTTGATGTCAGTAATAAATGGGGAAAGTCTCCCAATTTGCTGTTTGGACCAGATAAAGATGATAAGTTTATGATCATATTAATAAAAACGTAAGAAAAGCACATGAACATTATTTGAATGCTGGAAACAGATTCAGTAAAGCGAGTCTGTTCACCGTAGTTCTTTCTGATCACTTCTTGGAGATGGTCAGTTCTAAAGTTCATTCTGTCTTGTAGATCTGTACAAGAAAAAATCTACTCCCCTTTGTTGATTTTGTACCATTTCATACCTGTTTCATCAATTTGTTATTTGTGGAATGATGCTCAAACAGTCTTTACAACACAGTTTTTGAACACATGAAGCTATGTAATTTCAAATCCTTTCTCAGGAATTTATCTACAGAAGATGTAACGACAAACTCCGCAAGTCAGATCATGTAATATTGCTTAGACACTTTAGCCAATATCATGCATTGATCTCAAAGTAAAACAGTGTTTTCTTTTGGGTCCTGCTAGTATTCTTTTGCTTGGTGAGTACGTAGCTGATAGACAGAAACAAGTACTTTTCACATATAAGTGGAAACAGATGCATTACTTAAGAAAGGAATGCAGTTCTTGATTTAAGAGTCAGAATCATCTCTTTGCGTACTTCAAAATGCAACACTGTGCAATATATTTGTCCTTGTGCATTGTGTACAGATGTTTGTGGAGGGTGGCATATGAGAATATTCTTTTTCATATTTGAGATAATACATGTGGTCTTATAGAACGTCAGTACAAGTATTACAATAATTATTACCATTCATTGATAATTATCCATCAAAAGTTACAAGCATTCATTCCCTACA